AATAAATGTAAAATAAATTATCTGTATCTTTAAAATTTACACTTAATCTATTAATAAAGTTTATTGGAGCAAAACTCTGTTGGATATAAAAAAAAAGATGAAGATGATATACGTCGATTTTCTTGGTAGATAATGAATCCATTGGAGAAGAAAATGAATTGGTGGTTTCCATTGTAGGAGTTGTTGAATTACTAAGAATTGATTTCTTTCACTTGGGCTAAAATAAAATAATAGTAAGAATAATAATAATAACAAATCTAATTATCAAATATTATTATCAATCATTATTATTAAATATTTTAATTCTAGTTATTAATATCAGTGGATTTAATTATCCGAGCAAGTTTCCTGAAAACTAAATAATTTAATGAGATTTTCTTCTTCTCGTTCTTTGGCAAATCTTTTCTGTTCTATACGTTCACATTCCTCTAATAACTCTTCTTCCTATTGTAATTTCAATAATTATAAAAATACAATTAATTAATTAATAATAAAAAATATTAATAATAATAGATCAATATGAGTATTTGCATGAATTTTGTTCAACGATCGACTGTATAATAATCAAAGATTTCTCTTTCGTCTTTCCTCTTTTAACTATATTTATTTTATCGAAATATTAAATTAATGAAAATTGAATGAAAATTAAAAACGAATGAATGAATGAAAGGTGTAATTTACATTCATCATAACTATTCAATACAATAAGTTAGCATGCCAGGAACCATCAAATCTTAATAATAAAATATAATTCATTTAACAATAATGTAATTTAAATTTTTCATTTAATTTTAATTTTAATTTTAATTTTAATCTTAATTTAATACTCACTTCCATAGCTCGTTCCTTATTTGAATACTAATAACGATCCAGAATAACCATAAATCTTAAATCATATTTTTACATAAACTAAAAGATAATCCTCACTTCCAATTTTTATCTAAATAAGCATTTTAAATAATATAAAATTCATTGAAAATCCTCACTATTCATTTTATTATTATTATTCACCAAGTATTTCTGATATTCTTCATAAGTATATTCCAATACTTCAATACTTTTATTATATTTTAATTCTAAAATCTATATAATTGTATTGGAGAAAGATTAATAAAAATATTGTTTTTCTTAATTAAATTAATAAATTATATATATATATATAAATATAAATGAATAAATTATTTTTTTACCTAAATTAGCTTCATCAGAAGAAACTTTGTCTAATGATTCAATTGTAATCCATCGCTTCTTAATTATTAACGAAAGGAAGGTTTGTTAATCCTAAAATTTATTTATCATTTAATTATAAATTATTATTAATTATTTAATCATCTAAATAATTTTTTTCGTAATCCATATTAGAAGCATTAAATTACGACCTGACTCAACTTCTTGAAGATCTACTGCTTATAATGTTAAGATTGAAATTGCGAAGCACCTAATAATCATATTTTTAAAGTTCATTCTTATATTTTACAATCCCGGAGTCATTACTTTAAAATAAATTCGACGAAACTCCTCATAGTAACGCACATATAAAGCACTAACAATGCCTAGCATTAATATTTCTATTAAAATTTTTAATGTCATTATCAAATATGCATAATTTCTTAAATTTATTATATATTTAATTCTAGGAGCTAAGTACAAAGTATCTGGGGGTGGCCTTAAAGCCATGTGCCCCAATAACCCCCGGATTAGCAAAAACCAAAAAGAAAACCAAAAAATCAAAAAAAAAAGAAAACCAAAAAACCATAAAAACCAACCAAAAAAAAAAAATTTAAAATAAAAAATAAGAATATCCGGGGGTGGCCTTAAAGCATGTGCCCCAATAACCCCCGGAATAACAAAAAACCAAAAAGAAAACCAAAAAATCAAAAAACCAAAAAACCAAACCAAAAAAAAAAAAATTTAAAATAAAAAATAAGAATATCCGGGGGTGGCCTTAAAGCCACGTGCCCCAATAACCCCCGGATTACCAAAAAAAATTAATGCATAAAATAATTTCGTGATATTATTATTTAAAAGAAGTAAAATATAATTCTTTTCTAAGAAAAAAAAGTAGTCTCGATCTAAGCCTTCATTTTAAGTTTATAAATACTTTTTTTGACCGTGACGGTTTGTTTTTGTATTGTAGTTTTTGTGATTGATTGAGACCGACCGAGAGCTTCTGTGCAGTTTTCTTTAATTTCTTCTATCATTTTAGTGACCGTGAGTTTTAGATCTGCATCAGCATCGGTGGCGATTTTATTTTCAAGTGCCTTTTGGGCTGCTATCAACATAGCATTTTCTAATTCAAGTTCAGCCTTTTCAAAAATTAATTTTTCGTTTTCTTGTTGAAATTTGTGGACGTGATTTTCCAAAATAGCCTTTTCGTCCTGTTTTTTTTGGTTTTCTTGTTGAAGTTCGTGGATGCGATTTTCCAAAATAGCCTGTTCAGCCTGTTTTTTTCGGTTTTCTTGTTGAAGTTCGTATACACGATTTTCCAAAATAACTTGAGCTGCTCTATAGATATTTTTTTCTAACTCGATTTCAGAAATTTGCAAGGTAGAGAAGTTAAAGGGAAAGAAGCACACTAAAAAGGTTTTTGATGTAAACATAAGTTCTGTGAATGAACAAAAGCAACATTCTTATGAGCACAATAAATGGAGCTTTTAAAATTTCGAAGAGCATAACCATCTTGAATAATATTTTTTTAAGAAAAGGAAGTGATGAAAGTATGGATATTTTAAGAAAATTTTTTTCAACAATTGGGATATAGACCCTATTTATAATAAAATGATTGTTTACTTAAGAATGTTGATCAATATCAATAAAAGATTTTGACAAACATAAACGCGTGAAATGCGCGAATTTATTGTGTAAAAAACATTTAGAATTACTCAATTTTTTTTTTATGTGGGTCCTCCAATTTGCATACGTTTGTGTCACAATAAATTTTCAAGACTGACAATTTTTAAAAAGATGTATTCTTAAGTTTAAGAAAAATTGTTTACTACTTCAAATATATTAAGCAAACTAATGCATAAGTATTTCAATATAGATAATTCAAAATTAATATATTATATTATAAGTATTTAAAAATATATATTCATAGGCAAACTTTATAAGTCAGCCACTGATAGCTGGGTTATTTTGGCGAGTTATCGTGTGATAACCAACTTATGCGATTAGTACAATAATAAAGTAACTGGTTATCATTGGCCGACTTATAAAGGCGGCCAACTTATCAAGTTTCCTTTGTATATGGTGAAGTTGTTAACATTGAAAATATAGAAACCGAAATCATTTCATATAATAATTAATGATCAGATTCAAAAATCAAATTTGGAATTTATTACACTTATTACTGCTAAAGATTGAATAATAAATATGTGAGAAATGAGTTCTTAGCTTGATTCTAACGATTTATTCACAGTCACTAAAAAAAGTCTCCGACTATTATGCATACCGCAAGACCCTACGTCCAACTCACTATTACTCTTCAAAAAATTATGTTAGCGAAGTGTTAAAAGCGATTCGTATAACTGATGTACTGTTACTAAAATCAAGATACTTTACTACAAAACAAAACTTATCACATTAAATTTCAATAATAACAACATTCCAAATTAAAATAAGATGGTAGCACGAAGTGCCACCATCGCACTAGTAATAATAATAATAAACTTACTGGACTATCGGCTTCGCTTCCATTATTTGTTCCATCAGCTTTTCTTGGATTAAATATTACACCTCTCCACTTTCACCAACGATTAATTAGATGATCCATTTAATTAGATACCCGAGCTATTCTTTTTATTTTAATTTCTAATTCATATTCATTTTTATCTAATCCTTTCTTTATTTCTAATAATGTTTGCATGGCCTTTTGTAATTCTGTCCAACGAGCACAAACTATTTCTGTTGGAATCTTTGGACATGGGCATATAATAAAATATAATAATAAAGTAATAATAACAAAAGTAATAATGATAATACTAACAATAAATAATAATAGTATATAATAATAAATAACAATAATATCATTATATAGTTAAACTTACCTAATCCAAATTCCTATAATGTTCTTGTTACTTTAATAGCCATAACTTGTTTAGGTTTAGGTAAACTACACCTGGAGGGAATTTCTCTCGTCAAACTGTGATTGGTGTATTATGAAGTTCAATAGGTGAATGAACTGTCAATATAATTAATAATATTTATAATAATGATAATTAAAGAAAAAAAAAGAAAAATAAATGAATAAGATGAAGTAAAAATAAATAAAAAAAAATAAATACACAAATAAAAAGTATATAATCAAAATATCTGGAATACGTATAATGGGATAAATAATAGTTCAGCAATAGATGAGAATGATATACGTCGGATAGATAATGAATCCATTGGAGCATGGAAAATTGAATTTGTAATTTCCATTGTTGGAATTGTAGGATTACTAAGAATTGATTTCTTTCACTTGGGCTAAAATAAAATAATAATAATAAAATCTTATTATTAAATATTATTGGTGAATATTATTTTTAAATAACGTAATCAATAGTTATTAATATTGGTTGATTTAATTATCTGAGCAATTTCCTGAAACTAAATAATAAGATTTTCTCGTCCTTTGGTTTTTGTAGATCTTTTCACAGTCTGTTCTATACTTTCGTATTCCTCTAGTAACTCTTATTCTTCCTATTATAATCAATAATAAAAAATATTAATTATAAAACAATAAAAAATATTAATAATAATATTAGATCAATATGAGTATTTGCCTAAATTTGTTCCGACAATCGACATATAATGATCAAAGATCTAAAATTGAATGAAAATCAAAAAAAAAACAGCGAAATTGTTATGAATGAGTGTAATTTACATTTACCATAACTATTCAATGCAATAAGTCAGAACCATCGCACTTGTAAAATCTCTTTATAGTACCAATCTTTCAAATCCTAATAATAAAATATGATTCATTGAAACTTTTAAATAATAATAACGTAACTTAATTTTTCATTTAACTTTAGTTTTCGTTTATACTCACTTCCATAGTTCGTTCCATATTTCCATATTTGGATACTCATAACGATCAGAATAATCAAAAATCTTAAATCATATTTTTACATAAATAAAAAGATAATCCGTCTCTTCTCTAGTCCAATCTTTATATGAAATTGGAGAAAGATTAACAAAAATTCTGTTTTCGTCATTAAATTGATAAATTATATATATATATAAAAATGTATATGAAAAATTTTTTTTACCTAGATTAGCTTCATCAAAAAAAACTTTTGCCCGATGATTCATAATCCATCGTTTCTTAAATTATTAACGAAAGGAAATTATGAATTATTTAATTATAAATTATTATTAATTATCCAAATGATTTTCTTTTAATCCATATTAGAAGCATCAAATTACGACCTGATCCAACTTGAAGAACTACTGATATAATGTTACAATTGAAATTACGAAGCACCTAATAATCAAATTTTTAAAGTTCATTCTTATATGTAAAAATCCCGGAGTCATTACTTTAAAATAAACTCCTCACAATAAAGACCATATCAAAGTACTAACAATGCCTAGCATTAATATTTCTATTAAAATTTTTAATGTTATTATCAAATATGCATAATTTCTTAAATTTATTATATATTTAATTCTAGGAGCTAAGTACAAAGTATCCGGGGGTGGCCTTAAAGCCATGTGCCCCAATAACCCCCGGATTAGCAAAAACCAAAAAGAAAACCAAAAAAGTCAAAAAAAAGGAAACCAAAAAACCAAAAAAAACCAAAAAGAAAACCAAACCAAAAAACAGAAATTATAAAATAAAAAAAAAATCCGGGGGTGGCCTTAAAGCCATGTGCCCCAATAACCCCCGGACTAACAAAAAATCATAAAAAAAAAAAACCATAAAAAAACTGAAAAATCTAAAAGGAAAAATATCCGGGGGTGGCCTTAAAGCCATGTGCCCCAATAACCCCCGGATTACCAAAAAAAAAGTTAAAATATAAAATAATTTCGCCAGTAATATTATTATTTAATAGAAGTAAAATATATCTTTTCTGAAAAGAAACTTGACATCATCATTTTAAGTTGATAGTAGTAATACTTTTTCTGACCATTTGTTTTTGTTTTATAATCTTTGTGATTGATTGTGACCGACCGAGAGATCCTTTGCAGTTTTCTTTAATTTCTTCAATCATTTTTGCGACCGTGAGTTTTAGATCGGCATCAGCATCGGTGGCAATTTTATCTTCAAGTGCCTTTTGGGCTGCTATCAACATAGCATTTTCTAATTCAAGTTTTGCCTTTTCAAAAATTAATTTTTCGTTTTCTTGTTGAAATTTGTGAATATGATTTTCCAAAATAACCTTTTCGGCCTGTCTTTTTTGGTTTTCTTGTTGAAGTTCGTGGATATGATTTTCCAAAATAGCCTGTTTGGCCTGTTTATTTTGGTTTTCTTGTTGAAGTTTGTGCACACGGTTTTCCAAAATAACTTGAGCTGCTCTATGAACATTTCTTTCCAACTCGATTTCAGAAATTTTCAAGGTAAAGTTAAAGGGAAAGAAGCAGCTAAAAAGGTTTTTGGTATAAACATAAATTCCGTGAATGAATAAAAGTAACATTTTTATGAGCACAATAAATGGAGCTTTTAAAATTTCGAAGAACATAATTATCTTGAATAATATTTTTTTAAGAAAGGAAGTGATGAAAGTATGGAAATTTTAATGAAATTTTTTTCAACAATTGGGATATGGACCCTATTTATAATTAAATTATTGTTTACTTAAACACGTAGATCAATATCAACAAAAGATTTTGACAAACATAAACGCGTGAAATGCGCGAATTTATTGTGCAACATTCATTTAGAATTGCTCAATTTTTTTTCTTATGTGGGTCCTCCAATTTGCATATGTTTGTGTCACAATAAATTTCTGATACCATTTGATAAACCTGAGAAGTTCGGGCCGTTTGCAAAAATTCAGATTTTGAAGTTTTAGATCTTAAATATCGAACTTAATAATAATAAAAAGTGTCCTTTAAATTTTTTGACAAATATCTCAAGATTTTTCAGAACTTAATGACAAGAAAGAATGCAATGTTGTCATTGATGTTGATAAAGAAGAGAACAAGAAATCTTTTACTTCGCATTTGGTTGTCTTACCTACTTCCCTAAAGAGTTGGGAAAATTTGTTACAAATGAAAATTATGTCAAAACTATTATTAAACCAAACATTTCTGCTCCACTATTCGAAATTATTTAAGAAAATTTTTTACTACTTCAAAAGCATATTAAAGGAACTATTGTATAAGTATTTCAATAAAGATAATTCAAAATTAATACATTTTATTATAAATATTTAAAAATATATGTACATAGGCAAACTTGATAAGTCAACCACTAATAGCTGGGTCATTTTAGCCAAGCTATCACGAAAAACCACTTATCGAGATCAGTACAATAATAAAGTAGCTGGCCATAATTGGCCGACTTATAAAGGTAGTCAACTTATCAAGCGGCCGACTTATAGAGTTTCCCTTTGTATAATCGTAATTCTTTATTATAATTGATTGTATTCAAATGTGAAATATCAAAAATTATTCTGATTTGTTGCAATTTCATATAATGAAACCAAGTTATAGAATTGCTCGTCTTGTCCTCGGATGACAACATAATACTTAACTATTATGTTATATTGATTTTAGAATAATTAACGTAAACTTGTTAAGTTAATGTTAAGTAATTAATTTAATGTTGATTTTTAATTTTAAAGATAAAATCAATATCATATTTTAATAAATTTAGATGAAATTTAAGCTTTAAAATAATAAAATCATATAAAACGAATCAAAGCTTATCAAACAATATTATTTAATAAATAATTTTTCATTATCGAAATTAATATCTAAAGTTACATAAAATTCATATACCGTTGACAAATAATAAAAATTCAATGAGACACATACTTAACGTGCAAATACTAATATAAAGTAGGAAGAAGAAATAAAAAGCTCATTGTAAAACTACAGAAGAAAAGTGCCAATTTTCATTAACTGATGAACATTATAAAGATATTAAAGAATGTGATTAAAATATAGTTTAATTTGATATCTATGATATAGAGAATAATACTTCAAATAATATAATATTAGAAATATTTTTAATGACGCCATCCTCAAGAAATCTTCTTAAACTATCGTAAATAATTCTAATTTTAATATTTGACAAAATAATCATTAGTATTCAAAAATCCGATTTCACAACCAAATAAAAATCTCCTTAATTCATTAAATTATCTTTCTTAATTTTGTATTGGCTGTTCAAGAAATTTTATAATAAATTCTTGAGGATACTCCACATATGTATGATTATGACTAAAGTGAAAACTATTTAATGGAATAAGTGATGAAGTAAATGATAAAATATCCGATTTATGAAATCCATCAAAATATTTAATATAAAGTTCTTGGAGTGAAATAAATTGTCCGATTGGTGATTATTTCCGCTCGAAATAAAATATTTTAATAATTTTAAACGAATACTTTTTAATTTTTTCTTTTGACTAATAAATCCATTGCTATCTTGTACTTAAGTCTCAATAATTTCCCAATAAAAAATATCTCAAAAATTCCACTTACTTCACAACAAGAAATGTCGAATATTGTTCTTATATTAATATGATCATCATAATATTGTCTAAATTTCACAAAAACCACAATAACAACAATCACCACAAATCACAGTAATCACAATATTGTTTGTGAGCTCTTTTAATATACCACCAAGTAATTCGATCTCGTTTCTGTGACTGCAATATATATAAAATATACAGTATTATAGAATTAATTTAATTCATCATCCAACAAGATTTATAATATTTCATTGATTTAGTAATAATAATAAACTTACCGGACTACCGGCTTCGCTACCATTATTTGTTCTATCACTATCAGCTTTTCTTGGAGTACTTGTTTCACCTCTCCACTTTTACCACTCCTACCATTCCCATTTCACCAACAATCAATTTAGATGATCTATTTAATTAATTCATATTCATGTTTTTCTACCATTCCTTTAGTTCTAATAATGTTTGCATAGCCTTTTGTAATTCTGCCCAATGAGCACAAACTATCTCTGTTCGAATCGTTGGACGTGGTCCTATAATATAATATAATAATATAATAATATAAATGAAAATAATAATAATAATAATAATAACAAATAATAATAATATGTAATAATAAATAACAATAATATCATTATATCATTAAACTTACTTAATCCAAATTCTTATAATGTTTTTGTTGCTTTGACAGCCATAAATTGTTTAGGTTTAGGTAAAGGTATCTTTAAACTTCTAACAACTAAACTACACCTGGAGGGAATTTCTCTCGTCAAACTATGATTGATACATTATGATTATTTTGTAATAATATTTTTATTATATAATAATATTTATAACAAAATTAGTAAAAAAAGAAAGAAAGAAAAAAGAAAGAAAAAGAAAGAAAATAAGATAAAATAAATAAATAAATGAAGTAAAAATAAATAAACAAATAAATATATAAATAAAAATTTATAATTAAAATATCTGGAATACATATAATGGGAGAAATAATAGTTACCTTCAGTAGCAGCCGCCCCGATAGATGGAAGATGATATACAACAATTTTCTTGATATTGGTAATTTCTATTGTCGGAGTTGTTGGATTGAATTCTTTCGCTTAGGCTTAAATAAAATAATAATAATAATAGTTATAATAATGAATCTTATTTTTAAATATTATTATTAAATATTGCAATTAAAAGTTATTAGTATTGGTTGATTTAATTTTCTGAGCAATTTTCTGAAAACTAAATAATTTAATAAAGTTTTCTCGTTATTTGGCAAATCCTTTCTCATTCTGTTCTATACGTTCATATTCCTCTAACTCTTATTCTTCCTATTATAATTAATAAAAAAAAATAATATTATGAAATAATAAAAAATATTAATAAAAGTAATAGAACATTATGAGGATTTGCTTGTATTTGTTCGGACGATCGACGTTTAAAAAAATAGCGAAATTATTAAACGAATGAATGTGTAATTTACATTTACCAAATGCAATTAATCAGCTGACCGGGAACCATTGGTAAATCTTTTTACAAACCAAATGATACCGATCTTTCAAATCCTAATAATAAATATAATTCATTTTAATTTTTAAATAATAATAACGTCATTTAATTTTTCATTTAATTTTAATTTTAATATAATACTCACTTCCATAGTTCGTTCCATATTTGGATACTAATAATAAATCACATTTTTACATAAACTGAAAGGATAATCCGTCTATTCTTTAGTCCGATCTTTATCTAAATAAAGTGTTTTAAATAATTTAAACTATGATTGAAATTCTCCCTATCATTTCCTTATTATTATTACCTGTCAAGTGTTTCTAATATTCTTCATCAGTATATTCCAGTATATCAATTCTTTTATTATATTATGATTCGATAAAATATATATGTAATTGGAGAAAGATTAATAAAAATATTGTTTTTCTTTATTAAATAAAAATTATATATATATTTAAATATAAATGAATAATTATTTTTTACCTAAATTAACTTCATCAGAAGAAACTTTTGCGCAATAGTTCAATTGTATACCATCGCTTCTTAAATTATTAACGAAAGGAAGGTTCATTAATTAATTTATTATTTAATTATAAATTATTACTAATTATTTAATCATCTAAATAATTTTTCGCGTAATCCATATTTCAAGCACTAAATTACGAATTATCCAACTTGAAGATCTACTGATTATAATGCAAAAATTGAAATTGTATGGCACCTAATAATCAAATTTTTCATTACTTCAAAATAAAATCGACGAAACTCCTCACAATAACGCCCATATCAAAGTACTAGCAATGCCCAGCATTAATATTTCTATTAAAATCTTTAATGTCATTATCAATTATGTGTAATTTCTTAAATTTATTATATATTTAATTCTAGAAGCCAAATACAAAGTATCCGGGGGTGGCCTCAAAGCCATGTGCCCCAATAACCCCCGGATTAGCAAAAAACCAAAATAGAAAACCAAAAAATCAAAAAAAGAAAACCAAAAAAACCGAAAGACCGAAAAAAAAGGAAACAAAACCAAAAAACCAAAAAGAAAACCAAACCAAAAAAAGAAATTAAAAAATAAGATAAAATATCCGGGGGTGGCCTTAAAGCCATGTGCCCCAATAACCCCCGGATTACCGAAAAAAAAAAAAGTTAAAATATAAAATAATTTTACTGTAATATATTATTATTTATAGAAGTAAAATGTCTTTCTTAAAAAAAATTGATTCCATCATTTTAAGTTGATAGTAGTAATACTTTTTCTGACCATTTTTTTTGTTTTATAATCTTTGTGATTGATTGAGACCGACCAAGAGATCCTTTACAGTTTTCTTTAATTTCTTCAATCATTTTTGCGACTGTAAGTTTTAGATTGGCATCAGCATTGGTGGCAATTTTATTTTCAAGTGCCTTTTGGTTGATGTCAACATAGCATTTTCTAATTTAAGTTTTGCCTTTTCAAAAATTAACTTTTCGTTTTCTTGTTGAAATTTGTGAGCACGATTTTTCAAAATAACTTTTTCGTCATGTATTTTTTGGTTTTCTTGTTGAAGTTCGTGAATACGATTTTCCAAAATAGCCTGTTTGGCCTGTTTATTTTGGTTTTCTTGTTGAAGTTCGTGTATACGATTTTCCAAAATAACTTGAGCTGCACTATGAACATTTTTTTCCAACTCGATTTCAGAAATTTTCAAGGTAAAGTTAAAGGGAAAGAAGCAGCTAAAAAGGTTTTTGGTATAAACATAAATTCCGTGAATGAATAAAAGTAACATTTTTATGAGCACAATAAATGGAGTTTTTAAAATTTCGAAGAGCATAATTATCTTGAATAATATTTTTTTTAAGAAAAGGAAGTGATGAAAGTATGGATATTTTATGAAAATTTTTTTCACAATTGGGATATGGACCCTATTTATAATTAAATTATTGTTTACTTTAAACACATAGATAAGTATCAATAAAAGATTTTGATAAACATAAACGCGTGAAATGTGAGAATTTATTGTGCAACAAACATTTGAATTTTTTTTTTTTATGTGGCTCCTCCGATTTGCATATGTTTGTATCACAATAAATTTCTGAGACTTACAATTTTAAAAATACATCTGATTTATTTTATAAAATTATCTCCGATACCATTTGATAAACCTGAGAGGTCAGATTTTGAAGTTTTAGATTTTAAATATTCAACTTAATAATAATAATAAAAAATGTCCTTTAAATTTTTGGACAAATTGTCTCAAGATTTTTCAGAACTTCATAATGACAAGAAAGAGTGCAATGTTGCTATTGATGTTGATAAAGAAGAGAACATGAAATCTTTTACTTCACACTCAGTTGTCATATATTACTGTTCAACCTACTTCTCTAAAGAGTTGGAAAAAATTGGTACAAATGAAAATCATGTCAAAACTATTATTAAACCAAACATTTCTGCTCCACTAGTTGAAATTATTCTTAATTTAAGAAAAAATTTTAGTGTATAAGTATTTCAATAAAGATAATTCAAAATTAATTTATTTTATTATAAATATTTAAATATATATATACATAGGCAAACTTGATAAGTCAGCCACTGATAGCTGGGTCATTTTGGCCAAGTTATCATGCATCAAACTAACTTATCAAGATTAGTACAATAATAAAGTAGCTGGCTATTCCTGGCCAACTTATAAAGGTGGCCAACTTATCAAGTGGTTTACTTATCGAGTTTTCCTTTGTATATACATATTTTTTTATTATAATTGAATTGTATTCAAATGTGAAATATCAAAAATTATTCTGATTCATTGCAAAGTCATATAATGAAACCAAGATACCTATTTGTTCATCTTGTTTTTATATGATAACATAATTCTAAACTAATATGTTATATTGATTTTAGCATAAACTAGTTTAATATTATGTTAGGTAATTAATTTAATGTTGATTTTAATTTTAAAGATAAAATCAATATCATATTTTAATAAATTTAGATGAAATTTAAGCTTTAAAATAATAAAATCATATAAAATGAATCAAAGTTTGTCAAACAATATTACTTAATAAAGAATTTTTATAAATTTCATATACCATTGACAAATAATAAAAAATTCAATGAAACACATAACTTAACATGCAAATACTATTATAAAGTAGAAAGAAAAAATAAAAAGCTCATTGTAAAGTGTACAGAACAAAAGTGACAATTTCATTAACTATAAACATTTTAAAGTTATTAAAGAATGTGATTAAAATATGGTTTAATTTGTTATCTTTAATATAGAGAATAATACTTCAAATAATATAATATTAGAAATATTTTTAATGATACCATCTTCAAAAAATCTTCTTAAACTATTATAAATAATTCTAAGTTTAATATTTGACAAAATAATTATTGTTCAGAGCATAACATGCATCAGGAAAATTTCACTTGCAAATATATGCAGATATATTTGCAATTAATAAAACTGAATATGTATATATATTCAATATAACATATGAATTAATGTGGATAAATATGAATTAATGCAAATTAATGTGATTTATGTTGATAAATTCATGAGTGGGCAAATATATCCAGATATATTTATATTTATCTCCAAAAATTTCCTAATGTAGGACTTACATTTTTAGGTAAAGTCACAAAGATTATAGAAAATGATATATAAATGTCCATCCATTTATCTATGTGATATGATTCTATATATGAAGTCATATAATCATATAAATACATACTAGAGTTCTTAATTGAAAATGTCTGTTTGTTCATCCATGTGATATTGTTGCACAAGAACATTCAAAGATAAAAATATAAAAAAAAATATCTATAAAAAATAATCCAATTTTTTAATATAATAAAAAATTATTTTTTTATATAAGTATTTTTTTATTTACAATAAAGTTTATTAATTAATGAAAATAAAACCTTATTAACAAAAATTATTAAGTAGAAAATAAAAAATTTATATTTAATTTTTTTTTTAAATCAGTAGTTATATTGTAATGAAACAAGAATCATGTTATTAAAAATATTAATTGTTCTTCCTACATTTTTCTCTCTTGCAATTGCTTAGATTTTTGAATAGTTCTCATCAAAATTAATTCTTGACTCTTATATATAATGTTACCTCTGTTTATTTTTATATTTATTAATTTATATATTTATATATTTTATTATCATATTCATATCTGTATTATTTTATTATTAATTATTATATATTTTATCATTATATATAG